CCGCGAGTTTGACAAGCTTGCTTTAGATTGAATAAGTACTTCTTTCCCTCAGAACTGCAATTCCATGGCTAAGCTGCAGGGGGCTCCAGCGTTTTTATAGGTATCTCTCCCCTCCCCCGTCCCAATACTACCACCTTCACTTGTTTCAAAATCTTAACAAGGCCAAAGAGTATAAAGGGGACCCTAGCCAGTTTTGCTCAGTGGATAGGGCATTGGCCCGCGGACTGAAGGATCCTAAGTTCAATTCCTGTCAAAGTCGCGTACCTTGGTTGTAGGCTTGATCCCCCCCCCCCGCCCCCCCGTCCCTGGTCAGCCCGTGTGGGAGGGAACCAATTGATGTGTCTCTCTCACATCGATGAGAATGCACCCCTCTCTGCACGCACACACACACCCAGCCTCCAGGATGGGCTGGAGCAGGAGGGTCCTGGGCCAGATGTGCAGCCTCCCAGAACCGCCTGTCCCCACTTGTCCGGTGGACCTGCAAGGGCCTGACCTCAGTGGTGGGCAGGGCTGGAGATTTCCACCACCTTCCAGCTTCCAGGTCTCGGTTAAAGTCAGTGAGTGAACACAAGTGCAGCATGCAGATGATATGTGATAGATGGGTCACTTGAAACCTATACAGTTTTATTAACCAGCGTCACCCCAATAACTTTAATAAAATTTTAAAAAATAAAACGAGTGAGAGTGGACCCTGACGAGAGAAGAGGCCAGTGCGGCCTCCTCCTCCCACCGGAATCCCCTCATCTTGGTCGGCAGGTGAAGCACAAGCAAATGATAAGGAACCAAAAGCGGTAGCTGTTAGCCTTACAGCGAGTGCTGTGTGTGTTGTTACATGTTCGTACCTTGAAGGCCCCAGGACCAAGGCCGACAGACCGTCGTCATGCAGCACACAGTCTGTTTGGTACGAGCTCCTCAACCTGCTGAGTAGGTCCTCACGGGGCGGTTTTGCCCCTCCAGGAGGCATTCGGCAGAGTCTGGAGGCATCTTTGGTTATCGCACGCGGGCAGGAGAGTGGGGGCTACTGGCATTTGGTAGGTAAAGGCTGGGGATGCTGCTGAGCACCCCACAATGCAGGGGACAAGCCCCCACAGCAAGGAATTGTCCAGCCCAAAATGTCCCTAGTGCCAAGGTTGAGAAACCCTGCGTTAGGATCCTGCAAGCCCCTATGCCTGACACTCCAACACTCCAGCATTGTCCCAAACCAGGTTCAGGCGGCTCCTTCACACCCTCCCCCTTCCTACACACACACACACACACACACACACACACACACACACACACACACGATTTGGAGCATCCTTTGCGAGCCAGTGAGAAGGAAGAGTGTTCAGCACGTCTTTAGGGCTCTCAGTAGGGGACCAGGTGCTGGTAGAGTTGATGGATTCTGGGAGCCTTCTGCTGTGTTTTGGGGGGAGCGGGGGTTGGGGCCACCACGTTAGCCCCTGATATTTGTGATGGTCATTCAGTTTTTAAAAACAAATATTGTAGTTGTTGTTCCTAGAGAAATGAGTGTGATGTGTAGCACTCAGGTGTGAGCTCTGGCCACCTCGTGTGTCCCTATAGGAGAGCACCGATGTGTGTGCGTCCCTTCAGCTTCGAGTGGGCAGCCCTGTGCCAGGCACAAAAGGAGAGAGAGAAGCCCACCAACTCTGGCTGGTGGCTCAGCTGGTTGGAGCGTCATCCTCTACACCAAAAGGTTAAAGGTTCTTGTGCTGTAGTGAAAAGTGTGGGATGTGAAGTCAGGAGACCTCTGCTCCAGCTCCAGCTCTCAGCGTGAGGGTGGGTGAGCCCTTTGCCCTGTATTTACCTCCATCAGCTCCTCTGAAAATTCGGACCATCATTGGACTTGGCATGGCAGGGTCGCTGCAGACACCTCCGTTATGTGTATCAGGTGCCCTGAAGCGGCCCGTGCCGCACAGGTGTCATTCGCCGAGGAAATTGGTGTTACCTGATGACACCGGTGTGTGTCGAGGGCACGTGCCATGACTGGGGATGGAACCTGCAACCTTGGTGTATCAGGAGGCTGCTCTGACCAACTGAGCTGCCCAGCCAGGGCTGTCGAGGGCTAAAAACATTTAAATACCAGTTGGGCTCCGGGTAGAGAAAGAGATGGTGGGGTGGGAGGAGTGGGAGAAGGTAAGATCATCAGCGGGCGGGGACAGAGAGGAGACTCAGTATGAGGCGTGGGGGTGTCGGGGACCAGAGGACCCCGTGGAAAGACTGTCCTTATTCATGGGGCCGCCAATGCCCTCTGTCATTCTCACCCCCTGGTCTCCTGCAGCCAGGCCTGCCTGCCTGCCCCCCACTCCCCCGCTGTCTGCACCGCTCCTGGCCGGGGGTAGATGTGTCCTTGGGTTGTTATTCTCCCCCGTGGACACCCTTCCGAAAGCCCAGCCCCTGCCCGCAGTCAGTCTTTGTGGTCGATGAAAAGCAAAGGGCCTCGGGTCCTCAGCCCGCGCACAGCCCAGGCCAAATCCTGACTCTTCCTGGAATTGTGTGACCAGAGCGAGGATGAGTCAAAGACGGCTTTGTCTCTGGGAGTCTCTTCCTGGAGCCACCATTTCCTACGCGAGATTTAATTCTCGGAGCAGCCTCGGTGCGGCCGCTCCCAGCGCTGGTCTGCTGCCCAGGAGCGCCGTGTCAGTGTTGACACTAAGACAACATGTGCTCTGGCTCCTGGCAGAGACTAATGGTTTGCTTATGAAAATTACTGCTGCCATTTGTCCCACGTCTCCCACATGCAAAGCACCGTGCTTAATCCTTGACATTGTCCCTAATCCCCACCCCAACCAGGAAGGTAAATGACCGTAGCCTTGCCTACAGTCAGGAACTGAGGCTCGGTTAGGACGCTTGTCTGGGTCACACCACCTACACTGGCGGAGCGAGAACCTACACCCGCGAGTGCTCAGCCCCAGAGCCCAGAGCCCAGAGCCAGGCGCCTCTCCCAGGCCCTCACTGCCCCTGCGCTGGCGCTTCCCAAAGACTGTGCCATGCCAGGTTAGGGAGAAGCATTTCATCTGAAGAGTGAGTGTGTGTGTGTGTGTGTGTGTGTGTGTGTGTGTGTGTGTGTAAAACCTCGCTAGATTTATTACAGTAAAACCTCGCTAGAATGAACTAATTCGGACATGGAGCGGGGGGTGGTATCCGTTAAAGCTGAAAATCTGTTATAAAATCAAGTAGGTTTTATGCGCTGATTTATTACAGTAAAACCTTGCTAGAACAAACTAATTCGGGCATGGGGGTGGGGTCCATTAAAGCTGAAAATCTGTTATAAAATCAAGTAGGTTTTGAGAATGCGTATGTTAAAAAATTGGCAAACTGGTTAGTTTACCTGTTTTTACTTATGTAGACACGTTTGTGTTATTTAAATGATGTATAAAAAGTCTACTTTCACAGAAAAGTTTTCTATATGTATTACGTGATTTTAAATTTATACTGAATCGGTCTAGTAAATGCGTGCATCCATTAATCACCAAGAGCAAACAAATGCACACGGCTGGGGTGTGGCTTAGTGCACGTGGGGACGTGGGCTAGCCATTCAAACTGCTGCAGAAGCCCGACTGGCGTGGCTCAGTGGGTGAGCATCGACCTATGAACCAGGAGGTCACGGTTCGATCCCCGGTCAGGGCACATGCCCAGGCTGTGGGCTCGATCCGCAGGGTGGAGGGTGCAGGAGGCAGCCAAACGATGATTCTCTCATTGTTGGTGTTTCTCTCTCTCCTTCTCCCTTCCTCTCTGAAATCAATAAAAATATATTTAAAAAAGAAAAAACTGCTGCAGAAAGTCACACAACTCACAACAGAACCAATTACCACACTCGATGTGGTGTTGTGATCACGTGGTCATTTGCCGAACACTGTTTAGGAGCGGTGACTCGGGTTTAAATGTGTAGACTATAGTTGTTGATATGTAATATTTATTACGGCGAAATTACTACAGTGTCTTTTCCAACATATGGCCTATTTGTTAAAAATTTTCTTTAAATGACAGTGAATTAATAAAAAAGTAATCTGTTTAATTATAAACAAAGCTTAGTTAAAAGCACTTTAATTTTCACATATAACATACAGACCAGAAATTTTGTCCATTAAATCCGAAATCTGTTAAATTGTCCACAAAATCAAGGGTTTACTGTATTTGGTTTGGATTTCTACAATACAGTACTGCAGGAGAAGACAGGGTGTATCTCGCATAACCTTTTCAGGGCTGAGATACAGTATAATGATGTAAAGATCAGCCCTTGAGCCCTGGCCAGGAAGCTCAGTTGGTTAGAGTGTCATCCCGATACAACAGAGTTGCGGTTTGATCCCCAGTCAGGGCACATACGAGAAGCAACCAATGAATGCATAAATAAGTGGAACAACAAATTGGTGTTTCTCTCTCCCTCCCTTTCTCTCTAAAATCAATCAATAAATTAAAAATTAATTCATAAATAAAAAGTTCAGCACCCTGAGTATGGACAGATATTGCCCATGTGCCCGTCAGTGTCAGGCAGATGGTCTTCATTCATCCATCTATCCATCCATCCATTCATTCACCAGATTCTTCTGAAGAGGCTATGTCGTAGGAAGCGGAGTGCTCGGCAGATGGTTTTCATCCTTCCACCCATCCATCCACCAGATTCTTCTGAAGAGGCTATGTCGTAGGAAGCGTTGTGTGTGATGCTGAAAGACATGGAAAGGAAGGGGGTGGGATCGCTGTCTGGAGCCTTGCTTGTCCCAGGACTACAGCAGGCAGGACCTGGCCCTCACTGACAGGCTCTGAATACTCGGTTGCTTGTAGGGTTGTGTGTTCCCCCAAAGTGACGGGGCTGTGGGTGGCAGTGGTGATGGTACATGTATGCCCTGCCTTGTGATGCCCATTCGGACAGTAAGGAGCGTGTGTGGTGAAAATGCATCACATCTCTGATTCGCCAGTGGCCCAGCCACGGAGCCTCTCTGCTCTCGCGGGGCGCCGGGGCCTGCTCTCACCAGCTGCTTCTGTTTTCTGTCTCCTTTCAGTACCTGCAGATGAAATGGCCCCTCCTCGATGTCCCCTCCAGTGCTACCGTCAAGGACACCAGGTCACCGTCCCCAGCACACTTGGTAAGTCTGTTTCTCCTTAAAGTGCCCTCCTCAGCGGTCACTGCTTCCCCTCCCGCTGCTGAAGCTGCTGGGTCTGGTAGTGTGTGGGTCCCTGAGCTGTTGGGGCTGCACTTCCCTCCCCCTCCCACCTCACACACACACACACACACACAGACACATACACACACACACCCCTCCTGGGATGGTGTGTGATTGGAAATGCCGTCCCACCCTGGCTGGGAACCCTGGCCCTTCTCTGCTGCCACTGGAGCCCGGCTGCCCAGAAATGGTGTCTGCCTCCCTCTGTCGCAGCTCATTCAGCCTCTGCTGCCCCGTCGGAGCACGAGGCGCAGTGGAAGGGGCTCTTCTGTACGGGATGTTCTAGGAAAGAATGAGGTGAGGCGCGTGCAAAGGGACTCCCCGCAGGGCAGCCGAGGCTCTTCTGCCAAGCCCTGTGGCTACTCGGGCTGCAGAGCGTGGTCGGGATGGTCCTGGGGGGCCAGAGCTTGGGGCCCAAGCAGGTCTCACCACCTCAGCACTTGCCACGGACTGAAAGTGAAAGCAAATAAGAGATGATCCTTGTGCCAAATAATAAGCGGTGATCCTCAGCACGGACAGGGGTGAGCCTGAGGAAGGGCGGTGCAGGATTAAAGAAGACAGACAAGAGAATAAAGCTGGGGCTAGGTGGGACGCTGCTCTCTCTGATGGAGAGACGGCACCACGGCCTGCAAGCTGAGTCTTTATTTTATGGCCAGAGGCAAAGTAAGGGCATGGTTAAGATGTTTACAATGTTCTCACGGGTTTCGAATCTACTCAGTTACATGCACCTGAACTCTGTCAAGCCCACATCACTCGGCCTCCTGCAACCACAGGTTCGGACCATAAAGTCAAGCTTACAACTATAGCCTTTGGCTACAATTGTGCTGGGACTTGCACGTGGCTCTGCCACGAGAGGATCGTATGAGGCTTGAACCTGTCCAAACGCTGTAGCTGTAGCTGCTCTCCACAGATCCTGGCCCTAGCCGGTTTGGCTCAGTGGATAGCGCGTTGGCTTCGATTCTGGTCAAGGACACATACCTTGGTAGTGGGCTCCATCCCCGTCTGGACGAGTGATGTGTCTCTCTCACATCCATGTTTCTCTCTTCCTGTCTCCCCCTCCCTTCCACTCTCTGAAAATCAATGGAGAAAAGACCCTTGGGTGAGGATTAACAAAACAAAACAAAACAAAACGAGATGATCCTGGAACCTTGCGTTCCCCGTCCCTGGACTCTTCGTAAGAGCCGCCCTTGCCTGAGGACTATGCACCCCACAAGCTAACGGGTGTTACCCACTGTACAGCGAGTCTCGGAATCGTAGCAGGTGCAGCCATGAGCAAGCCCAGCTGGCACGGCCTGTCCATTGACAGGGAGACTCGGAACGCTTGATGTTTTTTTAAACTTCATTATGGAAAATTTCACGTCTTCCCTTCACCCACACTCCCTGTCCCACCACACTGGGTTGTTTTAAAGCAGATCCCACATTATTTCATCGCATTCAGGACACGATGGCACCCTGATAGTACTTTTTCATCATGAGCTTCGAGTCCAGTGAGGAGGAGGAGGAGATACGTAGAGAGAAATAATGGTGCCGTGAGCCCTTCTGGTTCGCGGTCATCCTGAGCCCTCACAGGAGCAGGCCCTTGGTAGCTGAGAAGCAGTGTCATGTGCAGTTCTCAGATGACTGTCACAGCCATCTGTGGAGGGACAGCTGGAGAGACGTGTCTTTAAGCAGCGGTGAGTGGCAGGGCCAGCCGTCCGGGGCCGGCTGCTCTGAGGGGTTCTGTGGCCGGTCACTAAGAATGAGCAGCCCATTGACCAAGCTTCCCAGGAACAGGCCACGGTGGCTGCCCCTCCAGATTCCTATTTCGGATGGCGGAGCGCGAGGTCCAGGCGCCCTCTAGTGGCGCAGTCTGTCGCGGTGGAACTCATAAATTTTTGTGAGTTTGAGCAATTCCCGCATCCACCCTACCACCAACCTGGCTGTCCCCTCCCTGCAGCTCTCGATAACTGTTTCCAATCTCTGCAGGCCCCTGTGTCCTCTCCACACACCGTCTCTGCACACGGTCTAAAATCTCTAACTGTTTCCGATCTCTGCAGGCCCCACCCATCCTGTGGCCTCTCCACACACCGTCTCTGCACACGGTCTAAAATCTCCATCCACTTCTAGAGGAAGTGAGTTCCCTTTAAAGCGAGCACGTGCACTCTGAGATTCCCATCCTTCCTGTTGCGAAGACCAGCCCATCTCGGAAAAATAAGCTGTGAAGCCTGTGTCCAGCCCTCCTCTGCCTGTGAGCATGAAGCCGTTTCCCTCCCAGTTTCCTGTCCAGCTTTTCACACAAGAGTTAGACCTGCCCCTCCATCCCTGCACCGTGTACTGTGCAGTCCACTGCAGCCTGGCTCAGCTTCCCAGCTGCCATCTAAGCACTAAATCCAGTCATTTCCCCTGCTTTTTCTCAACACGGGTGACACCTGACAGTATCCACAACCCTCTGCCTTCTATGATCCGAGTGTCATCTGTTTTCCTGTCTAAGCTTCCATTTTCTTTCTAGACGCTTTTCCTCGGTAAATCAGCTGCTCATCCCCACTTACCTTAGTGTGACACAAAAATATGTGAAGTCCTGCTGGACCGGCATGGCTCAGTGCTTGAGTGTCGACCTATGAACCAGAAGGTCATGGTTCAATTTCTGGTCAGGACACATGCCTGGGTTACAGGCTCAATCCCCAGTGGGGGGCGTGCAGGAGGCGGCCAATCAATGACTCTCCCTCATCGATGTTTTTATCTCTCTCCCTCTCCCTTCCTCTCTGAAATCAATAAACCTATGTTTAAGCATACACACACACACACACACACAGAGACAAAGACCCTAAACTCTCAGCAAGGTTCAGTACCCATGACGCTGCCAAGCAAACATCAGCCATTGCAAATGTGTGCTCTGCAGATCCTCACTCAGCACTGCACTGCGCTGGGCAAGGGGAAAGCATGGACAGTTGATAAAGTCACTGTAGATAGCAAAATGGATAATTTTCTAGTAAACTGTGTCGTGTGTCAACATAAGAAACATTCAAACCTATGGAGAATTTTTGTGAGTTTATTTGAGCCAAACTGTCAACAATTGCCAGGAAGCAAAATCTCAGTGGATTGAGATAATGCTCCAGAGACGGGCAGCTTTGCACCTTGTTTTATACATTAGAACCAAAAGAGGAGACTTATGTGGCTTACATGAAATTCATTGGTGGTAGATTAGGGAGGCGGGAGAAAGCAAAGCAGGGAAACCTCTGGGATTGGATAAAAAATAAAATGATAGACACATACACCTTTTACATAGTTGAGTACAGGATAGTTAATAGTCAACAACTGACATGATAAAAATAGCAACGAGAGGATTCACAGTCTCTGCCCTGTTGCATTGGTTGTGCCCTGAGGGGTCCAGGAAAGGGGCAGTTACCCTGATAGTCCAAAAGTATGTTATCGTGGATGCAAAAGACAGCAGACAGGGAGATTCTAGCCTAGGACATGACTACCTGCCATAAACTGCTTTTAGTTAAAAAATTTCATTTCAGACCACCCTCTATGGTTATTTTAAGTATCTGGGTTTGCAAGGCCACCACACAGGCCTTCCCTGAGCTTGTCAGGTTAGCACGTGGCCCCTTTTCATCCACAATTATTCTCTGTATTCTGATATGAAAAAGCAGAAACAGGCTTCAAAAGCTTAAAGAACATTTATGGGAGAAAAGCTTACCGTTAACTTGAAGTTCTACGGGTTGGAGAAAGAACACCATTTTCAGTTTTTGAATCCGAACATCGCATTCCCACTTGAGCTACATGCACGTGTAGGAGCACAGCCTGAGGCACACGGGTGTGTGCGTTGCGGGTGTGTTATACAGTGGGTTGGAATCCCAGCTCCGCCTTTATTTGTGCAGCTTCAGGCAGATTACCTCACCTCTCTTTACCTTGGTTTCCTCATTTAAAGATGGGATTCAGAAAAGGATTTGACCTTAGACTTGTGCAAAAATGAGTTTACAATTGTGCCTAACACGAAGTAAGCCCTTGGTAACTGTTAGCTTACCACCATGGTTGTTATTAAGAGAGGGAAAGACAATTAAAATACCATTTAATTAGCAGACTAAGAGGTGATGAGGTCCTGAATTAGTTGCATGGATTGCAAAGGTAATAGAGATAATGAGCCTATGGTATTTAGTATCTACTCTTTCAAGAATATGATTTCATTGTCTGGGATGGGGCTCGTATCTCAGTTGTTTTGTTTTGTTTGTTTGTTTGTTTTAATATATCTTACTGGTTTCGGAGAGGGAGAGAGAGAGAGAAACATCGATGATGAGAGAGAATCATTGATGATCAGCTGCTTCTTGCACCCCCCACACCGGGGATTGAGCCTGCAACCCAGGCATGTGCCCTGACCAAGAATTGAACCATGGCCTCCTGGTTCATAGGTCGACGCTCAACCACTGAGCCACTCCGGGCCAGGCTGGTATTGTAGTTTCATGAGCTCCGCAGGAGATTCTCAGGGGCCCTGATTGCAAATCAAAGGCAGAAGGGGAGGGAGTTGCGAGATGACCCCATTTTACTCCTGCGCACTCTCTAGGCTGGAGGCAGAGCCAGGACTTGAGGTTGCTGATGGAGTTTTTTTATTAGAAAAATGAAAATATTTGATTATGAAATTTATTACAGAATCATGAGCAAAACATTCCACGATGAGTTTTGCCCGAGGAGAAGGGCGATGAATACCTGGAGAGAGTCAGTGCGTCAGGTCGAAGCTGCCTCTCGGGGATGTGTTGAAACAAGTCGTAACTGGGCCGGTGTGGGGATGGAGTTCATTGCGACTAGGATTTCATGCCTTCTAAACAGCTCTAAAAGCTAAGCAACAGGCCCGACTGCGTGGCGCAGTGGTTGAGCGTCGACCTATGAACCAGAAGGTCACGGTTCAATTCCCGGTCGGAGCACATGCCCAGGTTGTGGGCTCGATC